ATGACCAAATGTCTTTAGATACCATCCAAGAGTTTCATCAAACACAGTCATCGCAAGATCGTCTGAATTTAAACATCGCATTCAGAGATCAACTACTTCCCCCAGCGTAAGTTAAATGAGAATGGCCCTTTAAGTTGTGTTTCTGCTGAAAAAGACCATCTATATTTGTGTTGTAATGTATCCCTGAAGCACATCGAAGCCAGCATGTATTCCTGAACAATGCTGACTGTTAGCTTTGCTGCAAAGAGGCCCGATATGACCAAGAGTCGGTGAAGCAGAGAAGAGGAAGCACAGCGGGGTCGGGACCACAAACTGGGACAAACACATGTCACACGACTCAGCACACAGCCGAGCAGGAAAACTCAACAAAAGCACAGAATCCCAGCTCAATCCACCCTCACGGTGAAGACCAGAGACAGAAAACACACCTTCAGGTGCCGTAAACAGAACAGCTCACCTCTAGACCATCAGAAATGAAGATTTCCTCTGAGGTGTTTTAGGTGCAGACCTGAGCATAACCATCCGTGTCTATTTTTATGCTAAAATGTGGAGAAACTGTGATGAAAACACCACGCCCACACTTCTGGCCTCTGACAAACACTGTTTCTAACACAAGTACAAGAAGACCTGGTGTTGGGTATTTTTATAATTGTACCTTTTTGAGGCCTAAAAGATGCCCAATTTGTGTTATTAACACTTCATGAATCTCTGTGTTTGCCAACTGTGGCTGTTCATGAAAGGTTGAACAGAGATGCTCGTTTGCAGTCAAGGATGTTGATTGTAGATTTCCAAGGAAACCTCTGTACCTCTGTAACCTGAGAAGGCCCCGTCTTCTCCTCCATCCTTTGTGAATAAAGCCCCTGACGAACTGGGAGCAGAGGGGAGTGACGTGGGGACAGCCTCGGAGGAGGTTCCTCTGCGTTAACTCTCCGTTATTTTGGGGACTCAGGGTAAAATGTCTCCCTTGTTGTCATGTGTGTTATTTCAGGTTCCAGGGTTATTACCCCACATTTAATTACCTAACATTTTGGTGGAGGATGCGGGCATGCAGAGCTGGTGAGCTGAAGACTTTCCCCAGGAGCAGAGGGGCCTGGTTAGCTCCATGGAGGGGGTTTCTGCACCCAGCTCTCGCATGACGATTCATGGACATTATGAATTGATCTACTCTCTCTCTCTCTCTCTCTCTCTCTCTCTCTCTCTCTCTCTGTGTCATCCTTTAAGGTAATATGGGATAAATCTAAAATTACCTATCACCTGGTACTGATGTTCTACCAGCACTGGATTGGAGGACATCCATCTGCGGCATCTAATCAGACTGGTCTAGACCGGAGCAGCCCATTGCTTGTTGTCTCATTGCCCTGCTGTGAATATAAATGTCCACCAGTTGACCTATGGAGGCAGATGAACTGCATAGTTGATCAACCTCCATGAAAGGTGAAATGATGGGGAGGATGAAGGCAGAATCTGTAATGAGCTTTAGGAGCTCACCTTCCTTAGATCGTACACAGGGCGGCTTTTAGGATCTCAGGGAAAATAAATCTATCTGCAGCGTTCTGTCCTGGCTGATGCAGACAGTGAGTAGGTGGCATAGATGGAATGTCAGCCATGAAGCTGGGAACTGAGCTGGCTTTCTTGGCTCTGCAGCCTTTTTAAAGCAGTCTCTTTAAGAGAACGCCAGTTTCAATGAATGTCTTGCAGAGTTAGCACAAACTCCTGGGAGATGAAGGCAGCAAGTGTCCTGGAAAAGCCCAACTCTTCAAAAGCTTGCGAGGCTGTTCTTCTGGAGAAGGTGACGTAATCTCAGGCTCTTGTCTTATTAGGGTATGTGGAAAACAGACACCTACACAGATGGGAGCTGGATACAACAAACTCCTTTTTTTCCTGACAAAATGCTAATTTGGAGAAAGTAAACTGCTCCGTTGGCAGAGTGGTGAGTTCACACCAAACCCCACGCTTAAGTTGGTGCTAATCAAAATGCACCGTCAGTAGCAAAAGCTTGGAGCTCGATTTCTAAACCACATAAACCCTTTTAATTATCTTTTGTTATTAGTCACTTAGCGATTGTCAACCGCCTCATCAACACACACACACACACAACCCAGGACAGAAACTCGTTTCAGCCAATCAGTGCATTCGTTAGAAGGTAGACAGGCTGACCGCAGCAGTTTGAGCGCTGTGTTAGTTAGCTTAGTAAGATTAATGAAATGTTAATATGACACATATATACCGTAAATCCTCTAATACAGGCCCAGGCCTTTATTTGACTCAAGCTCATCAAGCTCCAGGCCTTTATTGGAAGGAGGGCCAGTATTAGAGGCAGGCCTCTATTTCTATTTGAGCAAAATGAACTAATGGTTCGCTGGAGTTTTTGACAATTAAAAGTGCACCCACATTTTCAAAGTTAAACACATTTCTTTTAACAATGGTAGTTTCTGCTTCAGCCATCTCCCCCCTCCCCCTGCGCAGCAGCCGCAAACTCACTGATGCGCCTGCAGCCTCTCGGAGTTCCTGCTGCTCTAAACATTAAAATAATTATTTCATTTTCTGTTCCTCACTTCTGATTACCTTCAATGGTGTCTGTTTGTTGCAACCACCAGGTACAAAAACTAACTTGTTTTTATTTGACTATTTTTCTGTCCTGTCTGTTTATTATCTTCCTGCATCTCCTCTCAATCCTAAAGAGAAACTGCTACCTGGGTTCATATATATTCACCTCATGAGTTACCTTTGAACTGCAGTTCTAAAAGATCTACCGACCGCAAAAACAGCGGAGCGCTCGCTGTTTGGCGGCCGTATAAGTGATCAGTGCGTCGGAGGACAAGGTGATGCGCGCAGCGCCCCGCTCCACAGCAGCGAAACGCATCAGGCGCAAATAAAAGACAGAAAACATTAAAGGAAATGAACTGACATGAACGATCGCGTGTTAAATTAGTTTTTGAGGTGGCGACACCTGATTGTTACTGTGGCCATGCTCAGGAGGCAGATCTACCGACCGCGAAAACAGCGGAGCGCTCCCTGCTTGCCGGGCGCATCAGTGATCTGTGTGTCGGAGGAGGTGTTGATGCGCCCCGCTCCACAGCAGCGATACACATCAGGCGCAAATAAAAGACAGAAAACATTAAAGGAAATGAACCGACATGAACGATCGCATGTCAGTACACGGTCTGGCACAGCGCGTTGCCCCCCCCCCACCCCCCGAGCGCAGGAGCTTGTCACCTGCTGACAGCAGGCTGCTGTCTTTTCCGAGGGCTGCATCTTGCCGGTCATTATCACGTGACAGCGACTAGTCGATGACAGGCATAATAAGTCACTACAGTAATCCCTCGTTTATCGCGGTAGATGCGTTCCAGACCTGGCCGCGATAGGTGAAAATCCGCGAAGTAGGGACTCCCAGCATGCCCCTCGCGGGGATTCCCTCCACGTTGCACCTACGTCACAAACCGCGGCTATAAACGGAAGTCGCCTTTCCAGCTCACCACTCAGTCATCGTTTCTTCAGATTCATGATCAGAGTTTCCAACCTACCGATCAATCCAACGAACAATCATAGTAAGTTATCTTACTTACTTCTGGAAAGCCCGGCATTTCCGTGTCACTTCGTTGACGCTCGAACGCTCGGGGGTTTCCTAGATCAGCCGGCGTTTCACCGACGCTATCACTTCCGCGTCTGTGAAACCACGCTCCCTATTGAATTATCGTATGATCACATTCTCTTTTTGTGGGTAAAACTCAAGAAAAAAAATTTTTTTACTTGTTTTTTTTAGTTTTATTACAAAAAGTGCATTATATGATGAAATTGATGAAAAAAACAAGAATTTCTTGATATTTCGCATAGAAAAATACCGCGAATCAGTGAAAAATACCGCAAATCTGCGAATTCCCCCTGAAAAATGCTCCAAAGAAAAAATCCGCAAAGCAGCGAATCCGCGATGAACGAACCGCGAAGTAGCAAGGGATTACTGTATAGTGAAGTTGACTAGTTCATACACCCCCTACTGCTGCTCTCCAGAGTGTTCTGCAGCATAATCAGCACGTTCTCTTTGAACTTGATAGTGTAATGACCTGGCTGGGGTTGTAAGCCAGGTGCATTCTGGGTATTGTGTTATATGTGTTTCCTATCGTTCTGCTGGTTCCTATGTGCTGATTTGCGTGTTGTGTGAGTGTTATGTAAGCCACAGGGAAGGTGATGTGTGTTCTGTGGAGGGGTTGAATTAGCATGGTTAACTGACACCGTGACTCTGTGTGGTAGGAGCGTGATAGAGGATCGTGTCTGTAGCGTTACAAAGCATTGAAGAAAAAGCCCACTAAAGGTCCGCGTGAACTTCTACTGTCTCCTGCTGGTTGATTTGGGGACTATAACCCTGCCGCTGGGACGCTCATACTTGCTGGTCACCACATTCCACCCGGCCACAATAAGAGACCCTCCGACACCGGCCAAAATTGAATACTGGCCTGTATTAGAGGATTTACGGTACACTATATATAAAAACACACACTCTATATATACATGTATATTCTGTGCTCCCCTTGTGTCTGCAAGGCAGCACCGCAGGACATCTGTGACCAGGTGAAAGTGCCGCCCGTGGCACGTTTCTCACATCAAGCAGGTGGAACCAGGTGATATGATGCACTAGTAAAGGCTATGATACATAAAACCTATGGCTGGGGCAGGTCAGCTTCCAGCTGCTTTTGAATGTGAAAAAACACACCAGAAAGGAGAACCCACACAGATCCAGATGTTGGTGTAAAGCTGATGTTTAACTCCAGATTTAGCACAGACTTTGTCGGTTTAGTGGTGCTCCTGAAAGCTCAGTGTGGTACCAGCAGACACCCTGATGCTGCCCCGACAGTTTCATCCTACAGCAGCAAACCGCAACACTGAAAGCTTTAATCTTTAGCAATCTGTAAATCAGTCGGCTCTAATATTGACTGACGGTCAGTAAACAAACCCAGAGTCACCACGGAGACAGGCTCAGCATCCAGCTCGAGCTTTCCACCTACCTGCTATTCTCTCTTCGCTCCGCCAGCATGTCGACTGCACAGAAAAACTAAAATATTCCACCGTAAGGCAAAAAGCGACTCTTCCCCTCGATAAACTAACTCCTTCTGATACGGCGAGGCTACGGCAGCGGCATCATGCCTTCTCTTCACGCCAGCGAGGGAGCAGAATGGAGGCAGGGATCGTCTTGTTTAGCAGCGCAACTGGCTTTGTCTTCCAGCCAGCATACTGTGTGTACTGTGTGTGTGTGTGTGTGTGTGTGTGTGTGTGTGTGTGTGTGTGTGGTCTGCCGGGACTGGCACAGCTGATCCCCCCCTGACACGGGGTGGGGTGTACAAGGTTTTATAGTGGGGGGGGCATGGCCAGGGCTTTGGCCATAACACCAGGAGGAACATGCCATTTACACGGGGGGGGGGGGGGGGGGACAACAAAACTGCAATAGAAAATGTTACCACGGACCTGTTAACATAAGCGTGTAGGTCTGAGCTCTGTGGGTTCAGGTGACACTGGTATCGCTGCTGCTGGGATGGAGCTAACCTAAACGTGTTCCTCATAATCCTGCTTTAGTAGGATTTTAGCTTGAAAGATGATAAAACTAAACCACCACCAGAGGCATCGGGGGCTTCCTGTTGATTTACACCAGCGTTAGTTTTCACAAGAATATTTTTTGGGTTTAGTGATTTCCATCCATCCATTTTCTTTACCCACTTATCCTTGCAGGGAAGGGGAGTGCCTATCTCTAGCTGTCTCCGGGCATGCAGGCAGGGCACACCCTGGGTTGATTGCCAGTCCATCACCGGGCAACACACACACACACACACACACACACACACACACACGCACACACACACACACCCCTAATGTACATGTTTTTGGACTGTGGGAGGAAGCCGGAGCACCCGGAGAGAACCCACGCATGCACAGGGAGAACATGCAAACTCCATGCAGAAAGACCCCAGGTCAGGATTTGAACCCAGGACCTTCTTGCTGCAAGGGTACAGCGCTAACCACTGCACCACTTGGCAGCTAGTCACAATTTAGTCGTCCAATTTGTTTAAATTTTAGTCGACTACCTCATACTAAACTTATTTTGATGCAATCGTTTGCAACTTGTGTAAAGAAGTGTTAACTACACCTACTTGAAACTGTAAAGAACTATGTAACATTCACATTTCACTTTGGATCAATAAAACTCTACATTTATAACTGTTTCCATGGGAATAATTAATGGAAAATATCTAAATACACACTGAGAGTTTGAAATTGTGCCGCTCAGTATTAATAATGTAAACAAATCTATTTAATGTGCAGTAATATTTGTAATCATGACAGGAAATGACATTAAATGTTGTTACTCTGTTAAAGCGAGGAGGTAAACTAAAGGTGAAAACTGTTTCCGGGTGTATTTATTAGAATTTTCCCTTCACTAATGGGCCATTCCCATCTGTACCGGGTCGGCCCGGGCTGGGTAGCCCCAGCCTGGCCCGGTTGATTCCACACATCCTTGTCTTAAGCCCATGTGGGCTGATTCTACCCACCAATCAGAGGCTTGCTCTAATGGAAGGTGTGAATTTGCTGTCAGCAGTGGGTGTGTTGGCCCTGGTCGGCCTGAAGCAGACCCCCTCGGGAAGAGGGCCGAGAATGAGCCTTGGTTGGCCCGGGAAAATTCCAGGCCACCCAGATATGTAAACAACCTACGCTGCCCGGCCCGGGCCGACCCGGTACAGGTGGGAATGAGACTTTAGTTACCAAGGTGGGCTGTCCGATTGTTTCCACCCACAAACGCACCGCTAGAACACCCAACGCTGATCGTATCGCCCGCATTAGCGTCACCAACAGAAAAACCATTAAACAACCGGATGAGTTCAGTTTGGTTCTGCAACAGCTGATCTCCAGCTGCAGCAATCTGCTCCTGACCTCTCCCGCCCGGCCTCGCTCGCCGCTAACCACACCGTAACTCTTTCATCACTAGGGGAAACCATGGATGTGTACTCACTAGAGCTACTGTGACAGATCAAAACTCACAGTTTTCAGCAGAAAGCCATGTAATCATATAGCCTCGCCTCTGTCAGTGCACCCCAGGGCAGCTGTGGCTACATCGTAGCTCATCACCATCAGTGTGTGAATGGATGAATGATACACTGTAGTGTAAAGCGCTTTGGAGTCCTTACTCTGAGAGGTGCTATACAAGTGCGGGTCATTTATTATCATTATCATACACACACACACGTTTTCACATAAACACACACTACATGTAGGGCTGAAGAAATTCATATCACTATATTACAGCAATAATAATTAATTACAGGTGTTTTCAACAGGTGACTTGAGTCACACAAGTTCTGCTGCCATATCAGCCCGTTAGCGTCTCGTGCACCGCGGGAGGTAAACCAGGTTCCTCCGGGTCAAACCTGTGCTTTCTTGCAACATGATAAAATCATAACTAGACACAAAACCACTCGTGTCATGCTACTACTAAAACGCAAAACTGCGTTCAACTCACCATTTTAAGCATTACATCTCGGACAGAAATGTTCTTTTTATGTCCACAAGGGTCCAGTTAATGTCCTCCAATTAAGCAGTTTGTCCACAACAAGTCTTACGTCCACAGTCCCCCCGCCGAAACTCTAGTTTGAAAGGTCCTTCTGATGTGTCTGTTTCTAAAGTTGTCATCGTAACCTCCGTTAGTATCCTCGCGTTAGCTTCAACCTCTGATCCAACAGGTGACACCCCCCCACTGATTTGTCAAAAGTGCCACCCCCTATTCTCACATGCTGCCTGAACTATTGGTGGTGCAGTTTGTTGTTGATCCACAATCAGCTGATGAAATTCAGAAATCCATCATAAAACACGACCTCTCGTGGCCGCAGTAAGAAGGATTGTGATAGGTGCATGGCTGTGTGTCAGGAACCCGTGGGCAAGAACACATCGAGCCCATTAACCTCCGACTACGCAGCAGCACCGGCGATGCGACCATCTCACGCCGGTACGTTGTGATGTCGGCGCTGAAACGGAACATCGTGCAGCTCCAATACCTGTTTTCAAGCATCTTAAAATTCTCCAGCTGTTCCACGTTTATCATCGTCTCACGCCGTCATGGCTGCAGTCTGAAAGTCAAAGGCGAACACCATCTCCTCTTCTGCTGAGCCAAGAAAACAGCAGCACTCTGCTTCTGACCACCTCCAAGGTAGAGCAGCTGACATCAACACCTGCAGCTCTCTCGTCAACCCCAGTGTAGAAAAACCCTCAAACACAACAAGCAAACCGGAATGAGGTGGTCGGATGCCGGTTTAGCAGTCGTCGCTGACTTCCTGTTGCACACAGCACTTCTGGATCGTATCAGGGAGGAAAATAAAAGCGGAATCATCCAAAGGTGACTAAGATCCTGTGCTTTTTAAATACTGGATGCCGGTTAAGGAGCACTTTCAAACAGGAATCAGCAAGACTTGGGTGTGCTGGAGGTTTGAGTTGACATGTGGATTAGCACACATTTATGTAATCTAGTGGTGGATTATCAGACTGGATCACGCTAAGGAGCAGCACCCATGTTCATGGGAATAAAGGACAGCCTGGAAACTCAGATCATTTTAACAGCTGATCAACAAGAGATTAGACATTATTCAGGAACATAACAAATGTTATGCGTCACACCTGACCATAAAAACAAGACTTTAACGTCTGAAAAAGCACAAAAACAGCAGCACAGGTAACATGTGACCTACACTCTACCTGTGGGGGCTCTAGTGACGTGCACGCCGTTTCCCTCCGGGCTAATTAGGAAACATCCTCTCCTGAGTCACACTGCTTCTTCTCAAAAACACTTGGATTGCTGTAAAAAGCTGTTTTAATGCTGCAGGAAGACAACATCCACAGAGCATCTGCTGTCGGTCTCTGATGCACTTTACTCGGCTCACGAAAACTCACTGGGCTTTCGGGAAGGTGGCTTAGCATTCCCCGTGTGCAGATTTCAGCGCAGCTACAGCTGATCAATAAGCAAGAGCCTCGCAAGACCTGAAGATAAAGAGACTCGCCAAACACTCGTACACAGAACAATTAAAAACAGCAGAATCAGCAATAAAACCATATAAACTAGAATAAATAAAACCGCCAGAAAGTAAAACAACAAACTAAACAGCCTAAAATGTGGTTAAAACAACAAAAAACGAGACTTATGTTTATGTTTATGTATTTAGCAGACGCTTTTGTCCAAAGCGACTTACAAGTGATAATCGGCATGTTGCCCTTGAGGCTAACAACAACAATAACAACAATTTGGCATGAATCATGGAGAGGAGGGAACTAAGGAGTGGACGGTAGAGAGGGGGGAGACTTAACAACCGACTGTCTCATTTCAGTCCAGCGCCCACTTTCACCTCAAGGTTAGTAACGGTTGGTTTCATGTACGGGGACACATAACCAACTTCTATGCTGGGGTCTCAGTGGAGCTACCAAAAGCAATCGCCTCAGTCTTGTTTTCATTTAATTTTAAAAAGTTCATCTCCAACCAGCCTTTTCCTTCACCCAGACAGAAAAACGGGTATTCAGAGAGCTCGAGTTCACTTCTTTAGTAGGAAATATACAGTATGTGAGTGTCATCTGCATAACAATGAAAAGATGTCCCATACTTTCTAAAAACAGATCCAAGATGGAGCAGGTTAGTGTGAATAGGACTTCACACCCCACAAGAACAAAACCAAGTCGTCTTAAACAACGCTGCATGAACACAACCATCACACCATCATGGGGGGGGGGGGGTGTTTTACTAGATTAGGTTTTTGTTTTCCTGCATGTCAACGAACGCTTCGACACACCTGAATAACGGTTTTAGCATCATGACCCCTGCTCTACATCCTCTGCCCTCTCCAACCTCCGCATCCTTCATCCTAAACAATCATTCTCACCTCTGAACATGTCCAAACCATCTCAGTCTGTCCTCTCTGACTGCATCTCCTCAGCATCTAACATGAGCTGTCCCTCTGATGGACTCATTCCTGATCTTGTCTGTCCTCGACTTGTCCTCATGGACACTGTCTCTAAACCAGACAACATGGCTGCTCCCACTACTGTGTTCTACACCTGTCCTTACATTCTTGCTGAAAGCCTTTTCTCCACTCGTTCCAACCTGCTTCACACACTTCTCCACCTCTTTTCCACCCTGATTGTCTAACTCATTCACTGCCACTGACGACTAAAGTCGTCATTTGCATGTTTTTACTGTGTGGACGTCGGACGAGCCCCCGCACCGTGACAACAAACATCTCAGCTCTAAGGCCGATCTTCATCCACTTACGTCACACGTCACGTGATCAGGAAGCAGAACATCCATGCGTTAGGAGATC